CATACATATATATACATACATATATATATATATATATATACATATATATATACATATATATACATATATACATAATATATATATATATATATATAAATATATATATATATAATATATATATATATATATATATATATATATACATATATACATAATATATATTATATATATATATATGCATATACATGAATGTGTATTGTTGAATTATCGTACAAGTGTGTATTTATTTTTTTGCACTTTAATTGACTTGCAAAAGCAGGGAAAATTCTGCATAAAATATACTGTAAAACTGACATTTAATCTGTCTACAGCAATGTTTCCCAACCCTGTCCCTGAAGGCACACGAACAGCACACATTTTCAACTTCTCCCTAATCAAACACACATGAATCAACTCATCAAAACTTTAAAAGAGACTCCAAACCCTGAAGTTAATGGGTCAGATAAGGGAGACATCCAAAATATGTAGTATTGGTGTGCCTCTAGGAACAGGGTTGGGAAACACTGGTCTACAGCATCACACAAACTGCTAAAACATTTTATACCTTTTTTATGAAAATAATGTCCTGTACGTCAATGAAATCTAAAAAAAACAAATAAAATGAGTTTTATACTTGAGCTAAATGTTTGCCTCTTTAATCGAATTTTTTTTTTTTTTTTGGCCTTTAAGTCAGTTACTCACATATCACTCATATAGAAAGTATTGCAATTACTTTGTGCAATTAAATCTGTGGAACTTGCCAATACATCATTATCATCATGTCCTATTTCAGTCATTCCCTTTATTCTGACATTTAAAATTCTTAAAGGCACAGTTCACACAGAAATGAAAATTCTGTCATCATTTACTCTCCATTGACTTGCTCTGAACCAGTTTGAGTTTCTTTCTTCTGTTAAGCACAATAAAGAAAGATATACTGGAGAATGTTGGGAAAACAACAGCCATTGACTTCCACGGTATTCTATGTTCCTACACTTTAAAACTCAATGAGTTAAAGTAACTAAAACCATTTGAGGAAACTGATTGCTACAAATCATTTAAGTTCAAAAACTAATCCTAATGAGTACTGTGAACTTTATCTATTTGAGTAAACAAAGTAATTTGAGCAGAGTAAAACACAATAAATGAAGAGAACTCAAACCAACTGAATACTGTAAAACCCAATAAGGCAGCTCAAACAGTTTAAGAAAACCAATTTTTAAAGCATTTGAGTAAAAAAAAAACAAAAAAAAAACTGATCTATATTAGTACTGTGAACTTATAATTTAAGTTGATGTAATGGAGGTATTTAATTAAGTCATTACCTTCAACACTGAGTTCAAAACTCCTTTCAGATGAGTAGAATTAACTTTCAGTAAATTTTGAGTTAACCACATTTAAGTTGATAAAGTTGACTGTTGGGTTTTGTCAATGGCTGCTGGTTTTCAACATTCTCCAGAATATCGAAAGAAAGGAACTCATAAAAGTTTAGAATCACTTGAGTGTGAAGAAATGGTGAGGAAATGTTCATTTTTAGGTGACCTATTTGGTTGATCAAACTGTTAAGCCTTGTAACCCTCAAACTACATGCAAAAATATTTTTGCTGCTTGTTCAAACTACTTATGTAAAATAAGTGGAAACACAATTCTTGAGGGTTTTTTTTTGGACAACGTAATTGATTTATGTTCAATCCACTAAAGTTTAAGTTAACGTTGGAATTGTGTTGGAAGAACATGAATGAATTGTGTGGGAGCTTGCATTTTTCCAGTGTAGAGTGAGTTTGGAGTCCCCTCATTAATCCAGGTTGTCCACGGGGTCTTAAAAACTCTTAAATTTCAAAAACGTAATTTTAGACCTAAAAAGTCTTACATTCACAAAAATTGTGTCTTATATGTCTTAAATAATTGTAAACAGGTCTTAATTTTCCTCTGTCCATGCAAAGCTACCAAACACACATCCAATCATCAATAATCCATCCCAATAGAACTTAAAACTATTTGTAACTCTGTTTACCCATATTGTTTAATTATGGTCCTTTAAACAACTCTGTGTATTTATAGTCCACATATGGTGAGGACACTGACCTGGACAGACTGTTGTGCGTACATTTAGTTAACTATAGTGTTTAAACATGGTTAAGTTGAAAAAAATGTATATGCGTACAAATAGGGTTTGTTTCTTTTGACAATTTATTTAAAACATGGCCAAGAAATAACTGATTATAATCACAGTCTGTTTAAGGGAATTAATTTCACTCAGCGACCATCTTTGAAATGCCTCTCGGCCATTCTGTTTGAATGGGGGAAACTTCAAATTCTCCAAAATTGCAAGCCAAACTTACGATTAAAGTTCATATTACGAATTACCCATAAAATGAAACAACTCTCTTTAGTTTTATATATAAATGTTCAAATCACACCAAATCTGCAAAAAACACACGTCTGGTCCGAGCCCCTCCCCTGAAGTATTGTCAGTCTATAGTGATCGATGATTGGCTACCATACTAGAAGGCGGGGCTTCATTCATCATATTGACTGTTACACTTTTCACCATTCAAAACTATACGAGCGACACGTCTTGTGTATTCTATAGTCTTTGTTATAATATAATATAAAATAATATATTATAGAATAATATAATATATCATTTAAAATAAAGTACTAAGTTTGAAATTTCATTCATAATGGTCTTAAAAAGGTCTTAAAAAGTCTTAAATTTGACTTTGCGAAACCTGCAGAAACCCTGTAATCTTTAGGCGATCACAATCCTAAGTTGGAAACCACTGTCCTATTAAAATTTGGCCTTTTTTTACCTTTCAAGGGTAAATGTCATGTAGTTCTTGGTGCTTATCATGGTAACCCCTCCAAGGACAAAACAGAGAGATAAAATCGGGAAAGCAAATCAAGCACCTCAAACAAACTGGTGTCTGGATATCACAGCCAAACAATTGCAAAACTCTACATTTTGACCTTGCTGATATAGTTTCCGGTGGAACCAAATATGCAGTGGGACATTCATAGGTTGACATATACTGTATTCCTTTTGTAGCATTCCCAAAAAAAAAACATTAGCTTTCTCTGAAAACTACAACCATATGTTGGAATGAACTAAACTGAGATAATTTGGCTTTCTCAAAATCTGTGTGTAATGTTCGTGAGGTGTTTTAAAGTAAATTCAAAGAAAGAAACATTGTGTACGAAGTTACAGAGAGCACAGTGATTTACAGCTGCACAAAAAACTGGAAGGTGTTCAATCCTCAAATCGGCAGTGGAGTTAAAACAACATTAAAATGGCCAATGGCGAGACACTTGGGTGGAGGAGGTCGAAGTAAACTCAAATCGTGTTTGGACAGATGCAGTCGACTCTCAGCTGTGCATCTGGACAGCCTCCAATGATCAGTCAGATGTTTTGAACACTCAGAAGTTCCCTCAAAAGCAATGTTTTCCTGCATGCTGGGAGTGCCCCAAGTGTATAGATGGTTAACCGTCTTCATCAATTTCAAGTGGCTGTCCAAGAAAAAAGATAGTGCCGCCCATAATGGCAGAAATGGAGAGAATTCCCAAAAGTATTGCCCACCAATGTGCCTTTAAAAGAGAAGCATAAAGCAGGTTATATAAACAAAACACTGGTGCCACATCCCAATTTGCATTCCATCTGCATTAAATAGTATTCGTGTCTCAAGTTGTATTGTTTAAATGAGAATTTCAAAGTTACCCAGACAGTCTAATAATTTTGTAATAAACTCAAAGTGCAGATCTAAATATTTAGCGCAATACACACATTTGATCAGAACTGAAAACAATGATAAAAGCTTATGGTGTTTTTAAGTCATGTTGGATAAATTGTATTTGTGAGTTGAATGCACAAGAAAGCCACCTCAAAGTTGTTATTACGGGTGAGAAACTCAACAAATTTTTTTTTTAATCCCAGAGTTTCCGAGCTGGGGGAGTGTCAGTGAGAAACATGGCGGAATCTCTAATCTATAATAGAGAGTTAAATATACAACCCCAAATCAGAAAAGGTTGGGATTAAGCATGGGCCGGTATAAGATTCTGACGGTATGATAACCTTGGAAATATTGGATATACCTTAGATAACCGTGGGATCACGGTATTGTGATTACAACTAAAAAAATAAAGTCTTTTTAAATGTCTGGGTAAAAAACAAAGACTTTTTTCCCTTTGAAAACAATATATTTTATTTTTTGAAAGATTTACAATGTTTTGGAACAGTAAACATGTCAGGCTAAATATTTTAAAAGATTAATTGACTCCTGTTGTCTTCATTCATTTTAAAATCACAGATCTCTTTACTATTTAAAACGGCATCTTTGCATATTTTTTTCTGCTAAAGATATTGTTGTGCTAAAAAAATACCTAAGGAACAGTATTACAGAAAATGATGTCGGTTTTAAAACCTTGACTTTTCCAAACCACGGTATACCTTAAAAACGGTTATCGTCCCATGCCTAGTTGGGACAAAATGGAAAATGCAAATAAAAAAAATCAAGATTTCTAAATTTACTTTGACTTGTGTTTCATTACAGACAATACGAACACAAAATATTTTGTTTTGTCTGGTCAACCTCATTACAGGTACTTGACTGGCCTGCCTGCAGTCCCGACTTGCAGGAATGTGTGGCACATTTTAAAGTGCAAAATGAGACCACAAAGACCTCGTATTGTTGCCAACCATCAGTCTTGTTTGCAGTAAGAATGGGACAAAATTACACCTGAAACACAGTCTCTAAATGTCTTGTAAGTGTTAAATTCTACAAAGTTACAAATGGGTAAATGCTTTACGATTCCAATTTTTTTTAATGAGTCTGCAAGAACCAAAACTGGAATACGTGTTTATTAAACAAAAAATTAATCATTAAATAAATGTTTTTTTGTATTGTCTGCAATGAAATACCAGTCAAAGTAAATTTAGAAATTGCTTCTTTCTTTTTTTATTTGTGTTTTCCATACTGTCCCAATTTTTTTCCTGATTTTGGGTAGTAACATCTAACCTAATGAAAATATTGATTCAATATCTAAAGTTATCTGCGTTATACTTAATCTGCAACAAGATTAAGAACGTTTATAAAGTCACAACGCAACACGTAATGAGATTTCTCTGTTTGAAACAACATATTTGGTGGGAAATTAAATTTAAAAGAAATTAGTAGTATATGACGATGGTTGACAGAACAACTAAGCAACAGAATTCCCTGCTGAAATCAAGACTGCTGTTGGCTAGTTTTAGCTGGTTTTACAGGGGGTTTGGCCATTTTTAGGCTGGTTTCATTGACCAGCCTGCATTAAGTTGGACATAGCTGGTTTTGGATGGTCAAGCCCGTTTTAGCTATTCATCTACCAGCCTTAGTAGCTAAGACCAGGCTGGAATTGGTTGAAACAAGCCTGGAAATGGCCAAAACCCCTCTAAAACCCGACTGATTAATCAGTTAAAACCAGCTAACCAGGTTGGTTTAAGCTGTTTTTAATCAGCCGTATTGTCATTTAATGATAAAACAATACATTTTAAAGCTTGCCTTCTCTTCTGTTACACACTCAAAAGTAAGTATTTTAAATTCTAAAAAAGATGGCACACTTTTAAGGCGCAGAATAATTGGCGAACTTGAACACAGGCCAAAAACACCCAGTGGAAGATGCTAGCATGCTAACGTTAGACTGTATCAAACAACATACCTTCATCCAACCGGCCAAGTCGTCAAATTCATCCAGTTTCAGGAAAGAGTTTTTGAGCCTTGCGATTGGACCGTCAGCATCTAGTATTCGGCACACTTTAAATTGATCACAGTAGCCTTGGTTCCCAGAGCAGGGTGCTCCAGGAGCCAAAGCCACACGCTTCCCACTGAAATACTGCAAAAGGACTGCAGAAGTGGTGCTCGCGCAGGTATTAGGTTTATCTATGAAGAAAAAAAAAACAAATGCAAGTTTGATTCGAGAACATGTGTGTTTCATTAGGGTTTTTTATTGAGCAGTAATGTCAGCGCAAATAGTCCGTTCAGACAAATAGCTGTTTATGCATCTAATTTATTTGAAGCAGTAAACACGTGTTACGGAGGAACATTGTGGTTACCTCTCTGCTGGCAGCACATGTGGCACTTCTCCGTCTTGCTCTGTCCCGGACAGTCACATTGCACCATGTTATGTAGCGCGCAGAGAGACAGTCCACATTCCTGTGACATCAGGCCACAAGACAACGGTTAAACAGGAAATCACATTGTGTAAAATGATAATACACCAAATATATTACTACATCTTCAAGGAAACAGATATTTATTGCTTCCCACAAAAGTTGACTGTTTTCAATTAAATAACATATTTGTATGACATATTGTATGTGCTCAAGGCTATTGTTTTTTGCATGCTGAATAGCAAAAGAATGCATGAAATCTGACAAACAGGATCCAAACTCTATGCCTTCGTGGTTTGAAACCAGAGTTAAATGTGTTTGTGTTTAAACACTGGACTGAGAACAAACAAATCAGACTTGTGAAGTACAAATCGCAAGTTTAACAGATTGGGATTCAAGTCTACATCAAATAAGTACAGTGTGAACGCCGCTGAAGAGGTTTAGCACTTAAACTACCAGAATGCTATTTCTGCTGACAATTCAAATAAACTGTAATGAATTGAATTTTTATCACGTCATATTTTCATTCTGAGTTTCTTTTGAGATTTGAGAATTAAGCTTTAAATGTCTGTCGTCATATTTAAGTCATTTATCACCCTAAAAACCGGGGCTAGAAACCTTTTTTCAGCAGAGCCATTTCAGACTTTTTTGGGAAATGCATTTTTCATAGAGCCATTGGGATACACACTTACTTTTTTTTGTTGGTGCTCTTCTAAGCTGCTTACTTAATATGAGCTAAAACAACACAATTCTTGACATTTCGTTGGGACAACTTAATTTTTTTATGTTCACTCCACTTAAATTTGTAAAAACCAAGTTAACCAAGTCCATGTACAACTCAAAAATGAACAAATATGAGGCATCACGTTGAGCAAGTCCATGAATGAAGAAAGCCCGATTTATAGAATTTTTCTTTTCGTCATCAGCACTAATAAATGTTGTATTTATTTGCGCAAGGTTACCATAGAAACATAAGTTGTTTGGCCTTTTATTAGTGTTACGATTCAAATTTATCAATTGGTCGAAACCTTCTTTGTTGTAAACTGAGTTTTTATTCATTTTGTACTGTGGCCGAAGAAGCTTAATGTGCTGCATTTTGAGAAAACACTTGCAATTACAAAAAACACCAGCAATTTACAAAAAGATCTTCATCTGTTTGACAACACACATGCTGCAAATCCTCACAATGCAAGCACATTATAAAACACACTGCATTTTCACAACACAAACATTGATAAAACACGCTGCATTTCTCACAAAGCAAATAGAATGGAACACAATGGAAATGTTTCTAGGGGGCCCAAAAATGTGACGGACGCCGTTGAGGTTGTAACCGTACGTTCACACCGAAACCGGCAAGAGCGTCAAAGTAGCCGGAAGTCATTCATTTTCAATGAGAGCCGGCGGCGATAAGCGGCGAGGAGCAGCGAGACGCGTCTTCTCCGGCGTGGGCGTCGAGGAGAGTTGAAATCAAGTCAACTTTATGGTAATGAGCTATGACGTGGTTCGACGACAAGCAATCAGAATGAAGACGTCCACCGCTTAATTGGAGTTCAGAGAACACAGACCTGTGAACTTTGGTTCCGACCACAGTTGTTCCCAAGGGTTTGATGATTGCGGTCGCCGGATTTCCAATTATTTACAATGTTTTCTTACAGGAACATGCATTAAATAACTTACTGGCGAGTTACTGATGTTTATTAACGATATTTAAATTTATCTTAAAAAAGCAGGAAACTCACACGACGTGACAGTACAAAACAGTATTGCTGCTTCAATATATTTCAGACATATGGACATATTGGATAAATAGAGCTAAGCCACACCACACGCAACTTGATCTTCCATTGTTTTATGAATTTGATAAGAAGTGTGCAACATTTTCACGCTAGAAACATGTTTTATGCAGGAATGCAACTGACATGCTGCAACGGCTCCTTTAAATACGAGATCAATGTAGCGAGTTTTGACGCTCTCGCCGCCGGAGCTGAAGGCAGACAGCATTGTCGCCAGGGAGGCCAGAACGAGCTTGGACGCTCTCGCCGCTTTCGGTGTGAACGTACGGTAAGGAGATCTTTGAAAGGTGAGTTTTTTGTTTTTTTGTTTACCTGACACCAGTGTCTTTAGTATTTATTAGCCTAAATAACCATAACCTTCATAACCAGGATCCGCCACGTTTTAGGGTCTCCTAGAAACATTTCTGTTGTATTGTGTGAAATGCCGCACGTTTTTTTTATGTGTGACAACTTGCAGCATGTGTGCTGTCAAACAGATGAAGATCTTTTCTCAGTTTGCTGGTGTTTTTTTTAGATCGGCACGTGTTTTCCTATATTGCAGCATGTTAAGCTCTCTCTGCCACCGTAATTTTGCTGTAAAACAAAATACTATAAAAAAGGGAACTGTAATTGTATTTTCAATAGAAAACTGATTTCTAGTGCCGGCCATCATATTTTAAAGTGTAAAATATTATTATAGGGACACAGCTGGAGAGCCACATATTTTTGGTGAAGGAGCCACATGTGGTTCACGAGCCATAAGTTACCTACTACTACGATAAAAATACAATCTTTTCGTAATAAAGCCTATAATAGAGTATATGCAGAGCTATGTTTCTTTCCATACTGATAAACTTCTGGTGAACAGTTAATGTGACTTTTGTAATGTAATTTTTTACTTTTGTAAATGTAATTTAATGCAGTGCTTCTTGTACAACGGGGTGTCCAAACTCGGTTCTAGAGGACCGGTGTCCTGCAGATTTTAGCTTCAACTTGTCTCAACACACCTGCAAGGATGTTTCTAGAAAGCCTAGCAAAGCCTAGAAAGCCTTTTTTTTATTAGGTGTGTCTGATTGGGGTTGGAACTAAACTTTGCAAGAAAACCGGCCCTCCAGGGCTGAGTTTTTTAACATGCCTGTTGTACAATCTAAGACCCACTTTATATCGGATATCACTCAGCCAGTGGAGATCGCTGATTTTAAAAAAAGAAAACAGACCTTAAACGTGCCAATTTTGTAACTGCAAACAGTCACCGGAAGCAATTGACCCAGGTTACTGACAAATTAAAAGTCCTTCCGCATACCTCTGTGGAAAGCAAAGTTTTTACTGAAGTTAAAATGTTATGTGTTTGCTATCAGAAAGTTTTTTCTGTTGATTTTGTTAGTAGAAAGATGCTAGGCAACAGAGGTATGTTTTTTTTCAAAGGCACAGGTATAATGTTAGAATGAAAAATACACACATTTAGGAAAAGGTCAGGGTACCGTAAATATATTGGGCTTTACTGTAATAAAAGTTAAACAATTTACAAAATGTAAACATGGTCAAAATGACTTTCTGTTCTAGTGTTAAAAGTCCCATGAAGTGCTTTGAAATTGGATTATTATTTTTTTGGATGTTTGATGTAATACCAAAAGAAAAATGAAGAGAGGATGGGACAGGGTACCTCCTCCCCTTTAAAAACAGTCAATAGCATATTGCTTTTATCACAGTTCTACCAGTGAGAGTGGTTGAGATCAAGCACATTAAATAAAAAGCAAATGAAAAGTGTTTTGAAGGAGGTGGGGCATGCCAGATAACAGACAGCATTTAATTGGTCAAGATTTGATGAGAAACTGAGGTATAAGGTGACGTGAAAAAAATCGTTGATCTATTAGGGCTGAAGTAACAAACTACTTACTTTGGATGTTTATATCAGTCATATAAATTTTTGTCCCCGTTTTAGAGCATGCTAGCTAATAGATTTCCTTGAAACTAACATTTTTTAATTTTAAGTTCATGGGACCTTTAGGAATAACCAAAAATACGCTGTTGGACGTACCCCGCTGGAACAGACACGAGTGCCATTACTGCATATTGTCATGTCAGGCTTGGAAGGAGGTTCCGGACAAACAGCAGAGGAACCAGCACAAACACTTTTGTTACGACACTCTGAGTTTCCTTCACACATCAGCCCAGCTTTCTTGAAGACACACTGGGAGTTGCAGCACAGACCCTGGCTAGGACTGAAGTGGATAAAAAATGATCAGTTAACAATGGTCAACTTCAAGAAGTTCCGTTTGGAAAACTTTAGTGCAAACCTAAGTACTAAAAGGCAGACTTCCTTAAGCGTTTCGATCTAACCTGCTCTAAAAGCCAGGTCAAAAGTCAGGTAACCTAAGTTGCCCTGTCCTGATCTAGAGCAGTGCTTCTTAATTCTGGTCATGGAGGTCAGTTTTTCTGATAGTTTAGCAAAAACATGTTTCAAGTTATCTTGAAGTATCTGGATTAGTTGATTCAGATATGCTTATACATGTTAAACTCTTAAGTGTAGTTTATTTATAAGCTAATTTGGAGAAGATCACATGCTTTTGATTGAATACGGCTGGTCCAGCATTAGCTAATACATGATCCACCAATCAGTCAATTTCTAACTCAACATAAATAAACAGAAATTCTTACATCAGTATCTTTGTTTTGAAGAATCCCTCCTTCCACCCCTACTCCTCCTCCCTTTTTTAGACAGGGCGGCATGACAGCCCAGTGGTTAGCACTGTTGCCTTATAGCAAGTACATCACTGGTTCAAGTCCTTACCAGGCCAGCCGAAGTTTCTGTGCGGATTTTACATGTTCTCCCTGTGCTCGTGTGGGTTTACCCCGGGTTCTCCGGTTTCCACCCACAATCCAAAGACATGTGACATGGGTGAATATACCCAACCAAATTGGCAATCTAGACAAGTCAACAGTATATTTCCATAGAAATTCATAATTTGCCATTCATTAGCAGGGAAGTTTTCGAGATCTATCAGAGCTCAAACTCCCTTTTCACCCTTCTATCGGGAGGGAGCCCCGGGCTCAATGATCTTTTGAGCTCAGGGCTCTCTCTCGGGACAGGATGCCAAATACACTTTATTATCAATCATCAGCTAAGGGCAAACTCTTGAAAACAAAGTAGTCCACCAAAAGAGGAGGATGGGACTTCTATGACAGGGGTGTCAATCCCAATTCTCAGAGGACCAGCATTATGGAGAGTTTAGCTCCAACTTGTTCAAATTCCCTTGCCAAGGCATTTCAAATAAGGTGTTAAATTACAACTGGGTCTCAACTCCAGCGGAAGGTGGCAACTTCAGAAGCAGGACTGGATGCTCTTGTACATTCATTGTGTGTTTGAAAAGGGAACTCACAAGCATCTCAAGCAATAATGATAGAAAACTCCTTGGCGGTGATCTTTGCAGATGTCTATTATACAAAAGTCAGTACAACATCACCAAGGCATGGCCTTAAGTGATTAAATCTAGGAAGTTCGTTTCATCCAAATAGTCCACAGATATTAAAGTGTTTAATGCAAACCTGCACTGTTTGCCAAGCTTCAATCTGCACTCAATGCCTGAAGGCTCTTTTGAGCTGTGGCAGCATGGATCACTATCATCATGGCCCACATCACACTCTTCCCCCTCTTCTACAATGCGGTTTCCACAAATGGGCTGGTCACTATCTGACAAAACAAAACCAGTATAAGACAGGACAGCTAGGTTTAACTTCTATCTTGATCAATCATGAATAGGGATGTAACGGTATCAGAATTTCACGGTACGGTAATACCTCGGTATCAATGTCACGGTACGGTATTTATTGAATCATTTACAGGAAAAAAAAAACTTTTGAAAATACTCCAAAAAAGTGCCAAAAGTGTCAATGACATACAAATTAGCCGTCTATCTGTTAGCTTTGAAACAGGAACTTCAATTTTAATAACAAAAAATTATTAAACCATGTAAAAAAAAATAAAGTTTCAATTTAGTATTGTTGAAAACTCATCACATTTAACATTTAATCACTCACTTAGATAGAGATGGGTTTAAAGGAAAATTATCATATAACTATAATCTGGTAAAAGCTGGTATCTCTGGGTATTTACAATGTCCCCTGCAACAGAAAAAACCCCTCTCATTTGGGACTGAGGATTCTGGGACGAGAGATATGACTTGGCCCATGTTGACAGCAGTGGGGTAACGTTGTGCATTGTCTTTCCCCCACTTGAGAGGACAAACCATGAGTGAGATAGAGATCTCTTTGCGGTACAAGTCAATGTCTGCATCAATCTGAACAGTGTGCTGTGTTTCTGCAGTCCCCATGACTGTTATTAGTCGTATTCCCCAACTTGCAGGCACGTGCACACATAGGGCTCAACCTGTGCAGTGTACATGCCCTTTTTAGTCTTGGATAGAAAATGCCCTTCCAAAACGATCAAAAGTGCCCCCGCGACGCGACACAACCTCCGTCCAGTCCAGCCCTTCAGTAGGCGCGCGATAACACCTCTCTTGAGTATGCGCGCTCAACCCCCCCTCGGCGCTTTACAATACGCGCGCCACAACACAGCTGATCAGAACGCGCGCGACAGCACCGCTATTCAGCACGCGCGCGGCGACAACACCCGCTTTAGGTTCGATCATTTCCATCTTTTTTTCATCTCCGCTACTAGCAGCACACTCCATTTCCGCATTACTGGATCTGTAGCGACAACAGACCGCAAAGGATTATGGCCACGCCGGGGCTGATGGGAAATGAAGTTTCAGCTACCTCCCGTTCGCTTCATTCGCCTGAGCAAATTTTCTCAGAAGACCTATAGTTTTACCGAGTCATGCGACTTCGGTAATATCGAAAAAATTTAATATTGCGGTATGACGGTATTTACAATACCGTTACATCCCTAATCATGAATATAAAACATTTTATTAATGTTTGAATGAATGTTGAATAACCTAATATTTAGCAGCACATCTGCTGCATCCCTAAAACTTGTTTGGGCATCTTACCAACAAAGCATGTGTCCTTCTTTACATTAAGAAGGTGACTCATATGCCGCAGACTGCAGGGGGAGAACTTGTCACTGTTCTCCTCAATCCTGCTGGCGGCTTTCGGGAACATCAAGAATCTTCCTTTGCCACTGGTGACCTCCAGGTCCCCACAGTTAGAGTTTTCATCATGCTGTCGTAGACAAAACACATGAAGTAAAATGCAAACATTCAAAATCAGGAGTCTGAAACTAAAATCACCTGGGAGCTAATAGTTCGTGGTATTCTACATTAGGGAAAGATTAACAGTTGCAACAACTAGGGATGCACTGAATTTTTTGCTGGCAGAAATTATCGAGTAGGTATTGCTGCAGCGTGGAGACCACCAAGTGGGAGGGACTTACGCCGCAAGTGGGCAGGGTTGCTGTAGTAGTGTGTAGTAGTGTGTATGTGTAGTAGACGTTAATAAAACACAACAGGTTACTGTGAGTATTGGTTTAGGGTTACGGTAAGAGTAGACCAGGGGTGTCCAAACTCTCTCCTGGAGGACTGGGGTCCTGCATAGTTTAGCTTCAATTTCCTTCAACACACCTGCTTGAGAGTTTTTAGTACACCTAGAAGGAAGTTGATTATCTGGTTCAGGTTTGTTTAATTAGTATTGGAACTAAAATATGCAAGAAACTGGCTCTCCAGGACCAAGTTTGGACAACCCTGGTGTAGACATTCAAAAACACAGTAGGTTGGACTCTGTGTCATATAAAACACTTTAATAAAATGAGAACTCCAGGTTTGTGCAGCCCACTTGGAGCTCAAGTCCCACTCACTTGGAGCTGGCTACGACCTCTGTTTATACCCTTCTCGAAATGATTGGCATTTTTTGTCGGAAAGAGAAAACAGCTGGAAATGAGGCAAAAAAAAAAGGTTCATATGGTTTTCACACCATATGCAGAAAGTGATGCAATATGAAATCCATTAATTTGCAAGCACATCATAGTCAGTTTTTTTAAAGTAGCTCAATATTTTGCACTGTGGATATTCCCCTCATGTAACTGTACACAAATCTATGCACGAACTGCACATGCTCACTAGGGAAGCATAGCCTACTCAAATAACGCATTGACAGGAAATTTATATGTAGTATACTTGCTCCTGTTGCTTTCAATAGCATTACTGTTTTCGACATGGAATGTGCTGTGCTCACAACACTGGTAAAATTAACCCTCTCGATTTGTGACTACCAATAAAATATTGGTGTTTTTGTTGGTAGTTTTGTTGTTTTTAAGTTATTGGGCTGAATTTTAAATGTCTAACAAAATTGCTTTATATTATTTAATAAAATAATAAATAATCTTAAATCAGTTTCTGCTTTGTTTTTTAGCCAAGTGCATCTAGAATTTTGACTTTGACTCAGAACTTTCATTTCATTAAATAATATTAATATTATATATCCATGTGTGTACACACACTATTTTGTCGTGCTTTTCATTCACAGACGCTCTACAGTACATTTTGAACTTCAAGAATGAAATGACATAACTGGAGCAAGGGCCTTTGGCCCCTTTCCCAGGCCTCCACATAAATTATAGGTGATGCGGCTCTTCTGATCTACTCTGCATCCCAAATTCAATCTGGAAAAAATGAGCCATGCTTGTCAGCCTTCTGCTGTCAAATGTGACTTAACGTTAATGCAAGTCCTATGTAGTGTGAGAAACATGGCAAAAACGGGTGGAAATAAGAGTTGCTGAAAGGCATTTAGATATGCAGCTTCATGCAATAGAGTGACATGCTATGCTAAAGTTTGGAATCAAGCAAAAACATGCTAGCATCTGTCAACAGTGTAAAATCATGCTTTTTAAAACAGAGCAACACAGTGCAGCCATCTTAGATTTGCAAACCAAATGTTGGTGATTTAATCCAGCTGGCGATGACAGTAAAGAGAGGCATCAGACTCACAGGAGCTCCAAGGCTATGGCCCAACTCATGGGCGAAGGTCAGATGTACGTGTTTGGTAGAAAGGTAGTGGCCATAGGTCTGAAGGGTTACAAGACCAGTGTTGTGGCTGCAATTGCGACCGCTCTTGAGGATCATTTTAGAGCAGATTCCTCCCCAATTATCTACAAATTAGAGAAAGGACAATCAGAAATAACTCAAGCTAAAAACACAGCAGGACACAATAACAAGTTTTAGGCATGTTATGTTAAAGCAAAGATTGGATTGACTCAGGTCATTTTTAATGACTTTGTCTTTCAGAGCGGTAAACTCTTAACTCATTTAACTCTCTTAGCTATACGTTAAAAGTAAAGATATACTGTATTTTGAAATGGACTCTTAGGCTTGCCAAATAATATCCTATGAGGATATCATACTCCCCCATGTTTCAAGCTTATATAAATGCCAACACACGATTTTACTGCTGATCACAAACATCTGGAGGTTTTCGCACAGCACTAACCAATTACATCATTGCTCACTAAACTCTGCTGGTGGGTGGTAAGAGGGGTTGTAGTTGGTCAAGACCAGCCTGTCCATCAAAACCCAAAGTCCTGGATCGTTTTAAACCAGCCTATGAACCTTTAGTCCAGCAAAACCAAAGGTCAAGCTTATGGCTTCCTCAGATGTTGTTAGATTTGTGTTTCAAACCTGCTGGGAAAACGTCATGAAACCATCCACTTTTTTTTTTTCTTTTTTTTTTTTTGCTTGTCGGGGGTGGAAATTTACAAGAACCATACATTGAGGTCAGATGAACTTGCTCACATAAAACATATGGGAAATGTGGGTTTATGGAGCTTTAACGGTTATCTGGTCATCTGTCTCTCATTTACGTAATCACACAAAAAACAGGTCTTGATTTTTTTTTTCAATTGCTGAGTCATTTGTCTCTGCAGATTCTAATGAAAATTTAACAGATTTGCATAAACAGCTTATAATCTATTATATAATAAATACATTTATAATAAGTTACAATATGTAACCATTATATATCAAATTAATAATAATGTGCGATCACTAAAAGATTTATTAAGGTCTTGCAGACATTTTCTAACCAGTGATAGTGTTATGAGAAGGACATCTGGTCCTCACAAACATATTAAAACAACTATGTGGGCTATATTCAATTAGGCCGTGGAATATAAATGCAATACATGGTTGCAGAGCTTACTCATCTCATATGACTGGGACGAGAGCCAAATGAAACTAAGGTGAAGCGTTTACTAGTGTGTGCTTGAGTTAAGAGGCACCTTTACAGCTCATTCAACAACTTGCAAGGTGACCAGGAAGGCCCCTTGGGGACGTCACTGGCAGTCACGCTTGCTATATCAGGCTCATTTTCCACTGGACTTGCATGGAGTTATTTTTGTGACAAGGTTTTTAGGGCACAAGGCTGTTGACTGGCACCACAACACAGTCAACTGAGAGCAGTCATCATGGTCTCGGGTTAAACTCTTCAAAACAATTGGCAAGATAGAACAAATAAGCCAAAAAAGTCAAGATTAAGGCATTATTTTGAGTAAACAAGACATTTTATAAACCAAAGCTTCCATTCAATTTTATTGATTAGGATAGATACAGCTCAAAAGTGATGATATATTTCTGTAGCTTAACCCTTAATTTAGCACCCCACTGTATCCTTCTACAGAACGCCAATTATACATATATCATGTTTGATTATTGCACAAAATAAGTTCACTGACCACCAAATTTCACATAATATATCAAAGTATATGCCTGTATAACTTTACATGACAAATTAAATAATATGACACTTTAAAGCAGTCGTAATGCTTCAAAATACTAAAGAAATACAGACCTCCTACCAAATCCCAGAGTTGTGTGCCTATTTTTTAGTAAGGATGATTGACAAAAAGGCCCAAACCCCCACTGTGAAATGAACGAGTGACAACAAGACCAGTCAAGACAACAAAGCTTGGACTGTGGTCTGTTGCAGATGTCTTTATTCAACTTCCCAGACATTAGCGTTAGCATTCATCAAGTTTTCTGACATGTTTGAGAGCTAAAGCACTGGGAAGTCACATCAATAGTTGTTGCGCTGTGAAGTTTGTCCAAAAACAAGTTTACACTTGAGGAGGACCACTGTGAGGAATTGAACGCAACTGGCTAGCGGATTTGCATGGTGTTTAAATGCTAATATGCATGTCTAATGCAACCTCCTCACGTGAGGGTTTTACCATAGTGGCCAATGCAGAAAAAGGAATGCGGTCATCCTAGTTTTTGTAGCAGGGGGGGGCAGAGGTCTAGTAGTGCATAGTTTTGTGGTCACATGACACAACTGCTTTGGACTCACACCTCCTTTCTCAGCCAATCACAGTGATGGCTGTTGTCAATCCCATGGCAACATTCTCAATCCACTGGTGGCCTGCACCTCCAACCGCAAGAATAATCAAAACAATGACCGCTCAGTTTTCAGTCCAGCTGAGATCCCGGTGACATTTAGATGGTATAACCGAATTGAGGCCAGTGTAGATTTACAAAACACAACCTCTGTGAAAACATCCACTCGATGATATGAGAATCCAGAGAGTCAAATTGAAAGGAATGTGGTCGCAGATGAGTAAACAGCCTGCTGGGAAGGCAGACCTATTTGTAACATAATGCACATAATACACAGCATTTAGCAGCAACTTGAGTTTTAGTAGTAACTTCAAGGGCGCCTATGATGAAAATCATCTTTTGTAAGCTGTTTGGACAGAACTGTGTGTAGCTATAGTGTGTCAACAGTCATATTGAAGTCATATAAACACAATAAGTCTCTTTTTTTAATTTCTTGATGTTAAAATAGGATCCAAATCCCTCCCATTTTGAGGCCCAATACAATGTGATGTAGGAGTGCAGCCTCACTGTCCATCGAGTTGATTGACACCTGGGTGTTAACATGTCTACATAGTAACCCATATAATCAAATCAACAAGAAAGGATGTGCGCAAAGTGACAGGGATTTAAAGATCTGTTCAGCTCTCTGTCATCATGAATCATCAAAGGTGATCAAGAATGAGTTTAAAAATGTTTTTAAAACAGTGCATGTTTGTAAGGAATACAGCAATTTTATCAACATTATCACCGCAGCCGCGTGTCAGTACAATTATAAAAGAAGATGCTTCAATCCTGGTTTGATGACGTTAATTAGGTTTATTTTGTACATTACCATAACAGATATCCATAAAGCAGTAGATATTAATGTGTATCCTGTCACATTTGCCGTGCAAAAACAGTGCAAAGTTAAACGCGCACATTGTGTGTGTGTCCGTCTGTGTATGGTGAACTTTGTAACAACATGGTGTGTCACTCATTATTGCAGAAAGGCTTGAATTAACTCCACAACAAATACATCAAATAATCATTGGGAAAGTTCTTACTGTGGTATTTCTCACAAACGTTAAGAGAGATCTGCTTCCTTTATGTCTGTCACTTTGCTGTTTATCTGACGCACGCAGCCGAGGTGGAGATTGAGTCACAGGCAACAAAAACAGCTACACTGTGTTTAGAGCAGAAAATTCGGAAAGGTAAAATAAATAATCCAGTGGTTCCCAAAGTGGGGGTCAGGACCCCCAGGGGGTCTCGGAACAATGAGCGGGATCGCTTGGTGATTTCCAAAACTCTAATTAATTTCATTTAACTAGCAAAATTAACCTACAGAAAAAAGCAAATAATATTTTTTTGGCAACCGCTGAGGTGATTACATTATATTAAAGACACAGCAATAGCATCAGATGCAGCAGTTTAATTTTATGGCACCAGGTTGAACTTTTTGACCCCTTTACAGCACTCACGTATATTAAAAATAAATTTAGGCCACAACTCAACATGGATTGGCCGTCGAGTGTCATTCTCCAAAATTAAATGACAAATAGACTTGGGCCTATTGGTATGTGTTGGTATGGGTAATGTTTACATATTTATAACAACCTCAGAGGATATTTGGGCTTGCGAAGCACCGGCATTGTTATTTTGGAGGTCACAAATTGAAAAGTTTGTGAACAGCTGAAATAATCTGATGGTTGTTTTGAGCTCCAACTTAAACTTTTCTTTTGGACACACAAAAGGCGTTTCCTAAATCTTGAAAAAGGGGTAAAATATGTGCCCTTTAAATTTAGTACCCACTTATGCCACACAACTAGGTTATTTTGCAACTATAATTTGTTCTGATTTCCTTATTTGGATGTTTAACAAACTAGCTTTAGGGGATAGTTCACCCAAAAATAAAAATTACCTCATCATTTAATCTCTCAAGTGGCTTTATGGGTTTCTTCCTCCTGTTGAAAACAAAAGATGTTTTGAAAAATGCTGGTTGCTGACACCCATTGACTTCCATAGTAAAAAATTACTATGGAAGTCAATGGGTGCAGCTTTTAGCATTCTTCAAAATATCTTCTTTTGTGTTCATCGGACAAAAGAAACTCAAAAAGGTTTTGAACAAATGAAGGGGAAGTAAATCATTTTTGGGTGAACTATCCCTTTAACCAGTAAGAGTTCCATAGTAATTCATGCTGGTAGATGAATAAATTTTTCAATGAACATCGGAGGATCCCATTTATGAGATTCAGGATCTAGGTAATGACCAGATTAAAGGGAATGAGAGCTGAGCTCATGTCCTGTCATGTAGAGGAAGCTGTTAATGGAGAATGCGGCATTCATTGTGTTGGGGAGAGGAATGTTAATTACAAGGCCATCTTAGTAGCTGTACTACAAACAATGCACTAACATTGTTGTTTTGGTTTTAAAAAAAGCTATAGTAAGATTTTACTGATTAAGCATCGTACTTCCTTACCATATTATGGTCAACTCATATAGTTATGTAGACAATAGTAGCTTGGGCTCCTCATGTAATTATGTCTGCACAGACAATTACATATTTGTTCAATGATGTCAATAATTGTAAGTTGGTTTTTAAGTTGAATTACATCTACACAACATGCTTGTCTATTAATTCAATTATGTCTCATCATTAAATTACATTTGTACACTTATGTAAATAACTGTATGCTTGTCTAATTATTCAACTATATTGACCCATTTAATTATATTTAGTTGTTTAATTGCACATATATACATTCAATTAAATAGTAAATACATTGTGTACAATTTCAACTATATGTAT